ATGAATGGCATTCAGTATTACTTATTTCGTTATTGGTACTGCTATTATTTTCACTATCATTTTCTCCTCTCACATTCTTGACCCTCAAGATATTAAGTGCCAGCATAGAATTCTGCCCAACGAACGACCGAGAGAGAGAGAGAGAGAGAGAGAGAGAGAGAGAGAGAGAGAGAGAGAGAGAGAGAGAGAGAGAAGAGAGAGAGAGAGAGAGAGAGAGAGAGAGAGAGAGTAAAAAATAAAATTCATGCAAAATGAAGAAATAGATAACACAAGCTAACTTGTATTCCTGAAAAGTACTTGAAAGGTTTTAAAGTTCGCTTTATTAGTATCTTAAGGATTTTTGCCGACGTGATCCAGGAAAGGGTCTACATATAAAGTGACTTGACATTATTCAACTAACTGTTCAGGATTGCTAAGATATCATACGTCAAGGAATATAGGCTCAGGAGTAGAACATCTCCGTCATCGTTTCTAGTGTATGGAATCAAACTATCATCCCTGGATGTCTGCTATCACGGAATGAGTAATTATAAAATATGTATGTGTGATTGTGGCTGCGTCTATTTATCAATCTACTCATCTATGTACTTATCTATATGTTTCTCTAAATGTCTGTCTGTCTATATCTGTACATTATCTGCTTACTCTTCCTCCTTTACTTTTCAGGTTTCCGTCTTTTTTCTCCTTTCCTCCTATATATTCCTGCTCTTTCTTCTTTTCTGCCTTTCCTTTATACTATCTCTATTCTACCTTCCCTTCTTCCTACTCCTTGTCCTATTTCTTCTTTATATTCCTTCACCTTCTCCGCTATCTACCCCCCTCATTTACTCCCGCTCTCCTATTGCACCTTCTTTTTCTATCTTTCCTTTCACTGTCTCCTCTCCTCTCTCCTCCTCCTCTTCCTTCCCTTCGAACTGCACACCTGGAATGCATCGTTGCGTTGGGACTCGCCGCGGAAATGGCGCGACGGGGACGCTGTTGCTTTGGTTGTTTCCTTGTTTTCTTGGAGGTGAGCGATTGCATCCCATCTCGTCGCCTCCTTCGGGAATCGGATTTCAGATTGGCGCTCGTGCAGTTTTCACTCTTGTCGCGGGTTTATTTTTTCACGGAAGTTTAACATCCACATGTTGCCCGTAAGCGGTTGTGGCCATGACTGAAGTTGGGGAGAGTGAAGGTAAGTATGGATTCGAAGGGCTTCTTATTTTCGGTCTCTCTCATTCTCTCTCTCTCTCTCTCTCTCTCTCTCTCTCTCTCTCTCTCTCTCTCTCTCTCTCTCTCTCTCTCTCTCTCTCTCTCTCTCTCTCTCTCTCTCTCTCTCTCTCTCTCTCTCCTGCCCATAACGACAACCCACCTCGTCAACCAATGCCTGTGGCTTTAGATGCTTCCAAAGAGAAGTGGGAGACAGAGCTGGGAATCCATGGCCGCTGCAGCTCCAAGGGATATTGCGCCTTTGGGACACGAGGGAGAGAATAGATCTTATTTCTGATAAGCAAATATATGAATTAAAACAATTTCGTAGATTACAAACCATTTGTATGCATTTACGTGTATATCCAATTATTTTAACAGAAGTACATATGCATCTATATTTTTTAATATTTAATTTTATTTTCTCATTTAATCTTATCCTCGTCTCCTTCATGAATAAAAATGACTTAATTAATATCTTCATGCACTAAAGACCTTATTGACATCGTCAGCCAAAACAAATAATTTCTGGAAGGAAACGAAGCTGAACACAAAGGGACAAGGGAACCAAACCGGTTCCAGCCCCGCGACTGCGACACTCATCAGAAATCTGTAAAAGGCAAATGAAGGCGATTCGGCATCGCGTGGCGACGGCGCTTGGCGACGGCCGGGGTGTAAACAAGCGGCCAAAAGGGCTGCTCTGAACCATATGTTATTTGTATATATATATATAATATATATATATATATATATATATATATATATATATATATATATATATATATATATATATATATATATATATATATATATATATATATATATATATATATATATATATATATATATATATATATATATATGTATATATACATATATTCATATATATATAGATATATATATCTATATATACATATATATAAATAATATATATACATATATATGTATATATATATACATATTATACATATATATACATATACTTATATACATACATAATATACATATATAAATACATAAATATACATATATTTATAAATAAATATATATATATACACACACACACACACACACACACACACACACACACACACACACACACACACACACACACACATATATATATATATATATATATATATATATATATATATATATATATATATATATACTGTATATATATATATATACACATATTTATATACATATATATATATATATATATATATATGCACACATATATATACATATATCTATACACTCACATACACACACACACACATATAAATATATACATACATATATGTATACATATACGTACATATATGTATACATATATACATATACATATATGTACATATACGTATACATATATATACATATACACATATATACATATATATACATATGCATATATATACATATATACACATACACACGCACACACACACACACACCTGAAAAGAAAAAAAGAAAGAAAAAGAAAATATGCGCCTAAAATTGCGATATAGTAAATGTCAAAAAAAGGAAAAATGTCATCAACAAATAAAATAGTATGAAAGAGATAATAGCAAACCAGCCGCTCCGGTGACAATCACTTTTCCCCTGTTATGTAAGTGTATGTATTTGTTTATACGTATGTGTGTGTGGCCATGTGCAACCCATGAAAAGGCTATCAAAATTGCACCATTTTTCCTGTTTCAGTTTAGGACATCAAAACAAGCCTTCATTCTCCATTATTTGGCTTTCGCTAAAATCGCATATTTTGGAGAGAAATCTTTGCTAGGATTATTGCCTGAAACAGCAGTCGAGTAGAGAACATGGCCTAGAATTGGACGGCTCGTCAGCCGCCTTTCCGCTGTGAGAACTGCGGTGACGGCGGCGTCTTTTAACGGAGAGGGTTCTCGTCTGCGCTCGTGATCTAGGTGCCAGTTACTCGTTTTCCGTTTTTGAAAAATCAAACGGATAATTCAAGTTGAAACTTTTCATTATTATCATGCCATTTGCTTGGTACCAGTAATAACAACAATAATAATATTCATGATAAAGATGATAATGATAATTATAAGATAGTAATAATAATCATAATGATAAAAAACGATAATAATAAGTAAGATAATTCATGTTAATCTAAACCATAGAACATAAGACTTTACAACAGCATTTGAAACATGAGGAGATACATCTTTAACATGTCCATCCATCAGTGCTT